CAGGCCTTTTATGGAAAAAGTTTGCATACTCCTAGGTTAACCCAAATTCTCTTTACCTTTCAACACTGGGTCATCCTCTCTTAAAGAAAGATAATATAGTATTTTCCTTTTTTTATTTTTTTGTTTGTTTCATGGATAAGAGTGAATTTTCCTAACAAAATTTTTGTGGTAAAGAGCAGGGAGGTCGGAGGTTGGGCAGGCAGTAAAAATATGTTTTTGTTTTGGAGTGGGAGCGGATACATTGTCCAAACACATTTTAAATGAATAATGCACTTTGAATTTCATAAAAATCCAATTTCCAAAATATCACTAATTCAACCTATTCACAAGGCAGGGGGCTTAGTTTTAGACTGCTATGGTAGGCACAACCTCACAAATGTTTGTGAGGGAAGCGGTAAAGATTATGTTAGAATTTAAATGGAAGTTCCATTTTAGGACAGCTTTGCAATGTGGAAACTTGATTAGGATTACATATGAACTATGAAAAAACAATCCAGGATGGATGGAAACAGCAAGGTGACATGAGAGATTCAGTGAGTCTCAACACAGGCAGCTGTTGAGGTGTTTCATCAAAGAGTTGAGGGATCTTTGCAGAAGTCCTTGTAAAGATCAACGGTATCATTTATGTCAGCAGGAGAGTCCCAGAAGAGGACAGAGATGCTAAACAAGGCAGCAGAACAGCAAAGTCTTGTTGATGTAATAAGGTGTGGCTGGGGTGTCAGGGTCCAGGCTGGATGTGGGCTAAGTGGTTTTGGTTCACTTTGTTATTAGCACGTGAGTTTATTGAGGGACAGGGTGGCAGGTGTAGTTAACTGGATTCTTCTTTCTCCTACCTCACTTTCAAGAACTACTTCTAAGCCAGCCTTTGCTGACTTAGCGATGATACTGTGTTTAATAGAGCCTGTCCATGGGCTCCCTCGCCTACAGTTGCTCCTGTGCCTCACCTTGCACTGGTCCCCAGTGCACTGAGGGATGGGTAGGGAAGGAAGGAAGGTCTATTGACAAAGTCAGGTATCCTCTGGGACGAGGCTAAAGTATCATCGCAGTTTAATTCTAAACCCACACAAATCCATTTGTAAATAAATGCTGTCAGAGGACATGGTAATGGATAGTGCGCACCTTTCAATTGATTTTCTTCTGATGTGATAAAAACATGAAAGAGATGTTGAAGTGTGCGCGGCCTTTGATGTAATACAATTTAGATTTTAAAGTAGAAAGGCCATTGTTGATAGTAGTGGAGTCAATTCAATGCATGCACCAAACATTATTTGCTGTCAGTTATAAATTAGCTTGGAACTGCCTATAATTCACAAATCATTACTTATGACCGATTTATAGGAAATCTCATTAATTGCAATAGCACAAAGATCTTGAAGAAAGCAAGAAGTAGAGAATAAAAACTAGGCTGGGCATCTGAGAAAGTGGAGATGCATATATTCTGTAATTAAAAGCAATATATTAGATTTGCATATGTTTTACTAATGGTATGTTCCAGATCATGCCAGTTATTTGTTAACCACAACTTTTTTTTTTGAGACAGAGTCTCATTTTTTTTTAAGAGACAGAGTCTCACTTTATCGCCCTCGGTAGAGTGTTGTGACGTCACACAGCTCACAGCAACCTCCAGCTCTTGGACCTAGGCAATTCTCTTGCCTCAGCCTCTCAAGTAGACTACAACAAGCCCCTGCCACAGTGCATGGCTGATTAACCACAACTTTGAATACGAGATGTTATGATTCTTTCTACTTTATAGAAGAGAAAGAAATGAAGTGTTCCTTCATTTTATTTTTATCTTAAATATTTATTGTACCTTACTTCTCATGAACTAGTAACTTTACATATGCATCAATACATGTAACAGTCCCAACAAAGGCCTTTTGAGTACATAACAGTGGTGTTCTCCTTTCACAGACAGGAAAAGTGAAGAAAATACAGAGAAGTAAAGTAACTTTTCCAAGTTTAAAGTCACTGAGTTTCAAGCAGAAGCATGAACTCTGGAAGTGTCCCATTAGACCCTTCTCTCTTAACCACTAGACATGGCTGTGTTTACTATATCATATTTAAAAAATTATAGTAAGAAAAGGGGAAAGAGGAGGAGGGAGGGTGTTTCGCGGGTTCTCACCTCATGTGCACAATGTGAGGTATTCAGCACACCCCCTCAGTGAAAGGCTCAGCTACAACTTGAACTTTACCTTAGGAAAGAAAACAATGAAACCTAAACATTTGTATACTCATGTTCATGTGAAATTAAAAAAAAAAGATTCTAAAAGAATACACAGAAAAAAATAGTATCAAAAAGCAGAGTAAGGAATTATTGACATTTTGGGCTGTGTCCAGTCAACCAGTTATTTCAACCTGTGTTGCCAGTGACCCCAGAATTTGGAATAGTGTCTTGGTACGGGGGATAGGAACAGGAACGGAGGAGCAAGGCCCTGAAACCTCAACCCTAAAGATGTTAATTGGTTTGTGCATTGGGAATTTTTAAATGTTTAAATTTTTAAACATGTCTAAAAACCTTGAGAAATGTGAGTTTCAGGGATATCCATAAAACTGCATTAAGTCACTCAAATAAGAAATCTCCAATGGTCATGATGACTGGAAATGTAGAGTTTTCTATTGACAATGGAAATTGAAAAGGGTTATTTAAGGCTATGTTTAAATTTACAATGAAAGTTTACGCTTACTGTGAGGTGTGTAGCAATTTTTCTAGGATGAGTTCTTAAACTTAACTGTCTGACTTCCTATGCAAAGATCTATCATTAGATATTTACTGTTTTGCACATTTTCACCATCATTTTGTTTAGTGCCTTGCCTACAAGGACACTATATATTGGCAGTAGGCTAAGAGGAGACTATCAGAAATGGCCCCTATTCTCTGAGTTCGCAAGCTAATGGAGGAAACAGATCCAGAAACAAAGAATCACCATACCCCATGGTGTGAAAACTCAACCAAGAGCTGTGTCAGTCCTGAGGAAGGAAGCAACTTGGTTGGCCTGGGAAGGCCAGATGAAGAAGTGGTAACTTGAAACCTGCTAGTCAAGTTTCTTTGCCACTGCAGTGGAGACAGAAAGGAGCCTCTGAAGCCAGAAAGCAATCAGGGACTTTAAACATCACCTTCCTGAGATCAGCGTCCCTTTCAGTGGTTTCATGGCTGTGGATATATATTTAAGGGTTGCTAATGACACTGCTTTTCCTGAGGAGGACATGTTTCATTGGTGGAATAAAATCTTTTCTCCATGTTGTGCATGCTCTATAAATATAGCTATTCATCACTGTGGACCTCCCCACCAACGGGAGAGTTATTTCCCAAAGAAGAGACAGCCCTTCTTCTTCAAGCCTTCTGGGGGTGGAGAAGGAAGTGTCACCCTGGAAACTGGGTCTTTCTCTTGCATTGGCTTCTCTCCAAGGCTCACGTTGAACAATTGGGAGATCGTCCTTGTTGTCCTTTTTGCCACTGGTTTCTTCCATAGCTCTTCTTTCTCCCATATCAGCCCAACATTACCATTTAAGACAACAAATCTTATGTTAGCACTCCTTTCTAAAAACAAGATGTTGCCTGCAAGAGAAAGTGGAGGCTCTTGAGTTTGATATAACCAGCTCTTAACAGTCTAGACCTGATCTCATCCCAGCTCCCTTTCCCATTCTGTCTTCCAGGCTTTCCATTCTCTTGCCATAGGGAACATTTTGCTGTTCCCTTGTTGTTTTTGACTCAGGTTGATCCCTTTGCCTAAAATGCCCTTCTTTCCTTTCTTCAGTAACTCCTACAAAACCTTGATCAGATGATCCTCCTCTTGGGAAGCAATCCCATTCTCAATTTCCCAGTGCAGCTTAAGTTGCTCTGATGATAGTGCCCTTGTGCCAATGTAGTCTTGTCTTGTAGCAATGAACATATGTCATTGTAAGTTATCTATTTGCCTATCTGTCTCTCTTTGAATTAAAATTCACTCAGGGGTAAGAATTATATTCTTCATTTGTATATACCCAAGATTTATCAAAATGTTTGGCTAAGAACAACTACAAAACACCATTAATAATATTATCTGACTGAGTTCTGACCATGTGAGAGGCATTTTTATAAATCTTTTTTTCTGTAATAGCTCATTTTACCCTCACAACAACCCTAAGGGGTGTGTAATATTATCATTCTCATTTTTCAAGTTAGGAGAGGAGGTTGAGAAATAAAAAGAATGAGTAAGTTGCCCAAAGTGACACATGATAAGTACTAAATTAGTGCCTTTTTAAATTGAAATGTGGTAAGGCCCTCTGCCCCTTGCATTTTTATTTCCAAGAGATTCACAGTAGAGACACTCTTTATTAAGATAAGAACTTAGGGAGAAGTTATCACAGAGGTGCCCAGTCCACAATAAGCCAGTTGAGTAGGGGCATATACTGGGTAACAACACAAGCTCATTTGGAAGTCCTTTTTGTGCTGGAAGAAATGAAGAAAGTGAGTTTTAATTTTCCTTCCAACAAATAGTCTTGAAAACAGTAAAATTAAGGACATAAGACATAACAGTACTGTCATACTATTTTTTTTCTGTGATTGAAAATAATCTTTCATTGGAAATGATTTAACTTACAAAGGAGCTTTTAGTTTGTAGGATATATCCACACAATCCTATTTTCTAAACTTTCCCAGTCCGGTTTAGGCATTGAAACTAATGGTGGAGTTATCAAATATGTCTTCATGCATTGGGGTCACACTAGACTGATAAACACTATGTTAGTAAGGGCTCTTGACCACAGTGATGTGCTCTGTGATTATATATCTGATGGAATGTAGGCTATGATGGCTCCTAATTTGGACTATAGGAACATTTCCCTATCAATATGAGCCACATAGCTTAACAAGGGATATATTATTTATTTGTTTGTTTATCCATTTAGTTTTTAGTCTGAGAAATGATGACTTTAGATGAATACACTAAATCACTGACATTACTGCATAAAGATATTTGGTGTAGATCTAATTATCTTTTCTTGTTCTTATTATTTTGCAGACTGTTTGAACTCCAGAAGGACCAACACCAGATAAATTATGAATGTTGAACAAGATGACCTTACATCCACAGCAGATAATGATAGGTCCTAGGTTTAACAGGGCCCTATTTGACCCCCTGCTTGTGGTGCTGCTGGCTCTTCAGCTTCTGGTGGTGGCTGGTTTGGTGCGGGCTCAGACCTGCCCTTCTGTGTGCTCCTGCAGCAACCAGTTCAGCAAGGTGATTTGTGTTCGCAAGAACCTGCGTGAGGTTCCAGATGGCATCTCCACCAACACACGGCTGCTGAACCTTCATGAGAACCAAATCCAGATCATCAAAGTGAACAGCTTCAAGCACTTGAGGCACCTGGAAATCCTACAATTGAGTAGGAACCATATTAGAACCATTGAAATTGGGGCCTTCAATGGTCTGGCCAACCTCAACACTCTGGAACTCTTTGACAATCGTCTTACTACCATCCCAAATGGGGCTTTTGTATATTTGTCTAAACTGAAGGAGCTCTGGTTGCGAAACAACCCCATTGAAAGCATCCCTTCTTATGCTTTTAACAGAATTCCTTCTTTGCGCCGATTAGACTTAGGGGAATTGAAAAGACTTTCGTACATCTCAGAAGGTGCCTTTGAAGGTCTGTCCAACTTGAGGTATTTGAACCTTGCCATGTGCAACCTCCGGGAAATCCCTAACCTCACACCACTCATAAAACTAGATGAGTTAGATCTTTCTGGGAATCATTTATCTGCCATTAGGCCTGGTTCTTTCCAGGGGTTGATGCACCTTCAAAAACTGTGGATGATACAGTCCCAGATTCAAGTGATTGAAAGGAACGCCTTTGATAACCTTCAATCACTAGTGGAGATCAACCTGGCACACAACAATCTAACGTTACTGCCTCATGACCTCTTCACGCCCTTGCACCATCTAGAGCGGATACACTTACATCACAACCCTTGGAACTGTAACTGTGACATACTGTGGCTCAGCTGGTGGATAAAAGACATGGCCCCCTCCAATACAGCTTGTTGTGCCCGGTGTAACACTCCTCCCAATCTAAAAGGGAGGTACATTGGGGAGCTTGACCAGAATTATTTCACATGCTATGCCCCAGTGATCGTGGAGCCCCCTGCAGACCTCAATGTCACTGAAGGCATGGCAGCTGAGCTGAAATGTCGAGCCTCTACATCACTGACGTCTGTATCTTGGATTACTCCAAATGGAACAGTTATGACACATGGGGCATACAAAGTGCGGATAGCTGTGCTCAGCGATGGTACATTAAATTTCACGAATGTAACCGTGCAAGATACAGGCATGTACACATGTATGGTGAGTAATTCTGTTGGAAACACTACTGCTTCAGCCACCCTGAATGTTACTGCAGCAACCACTACTCCCTTCTCTTACTTTTCAACCGTCACAGTAGAGACTATGGAACCTTCTCAGGATGAGGCGCGGACCACAGATAACAATGTGGGTCCCACTCCGGTGATCGACTGGGAGACCACCAATGTGACCACCTCTCTTACGCCACAGAGCACAAGGTCCACAGAAAAGACATTCACCATCCCAGTGACTGATATAAATAGTGGGATCCCAGGAATCGATGAGGTCATGAAGACGACCAAAATCATCATTGGGTGTTTTGTGGCCATCACACTCATGGCAGCAGTGATGCTGGTGATCTTCTACAAGATGAGGAAGCAGCACCATCGGCAAAACCATCACGCCCCAACAAGGACTGTTGAAATCATTAATGTGGATGATGAGATTACTGGGGACACGCCCATGGAGAGCCACCTGCCCATGCCTGCTATCGAGCATGAGCACCTGAATCACTATAACTCTTACAAATCTCCCTTCAACCACACAACAACAGTTAACACAATAAATTCAATACACAGTTCAGTGCATGAACCGTTATTGATCCGAATGAACTCTAAAGACAATGTACAAGAGACTCAAATCTAAAACAGAGTTACAGAAAAACAATAACAACAACAAAAAAGACAGTTTATTAAAAATGACACAAATGACTGGGCTAAATCTACTGTTTCAAAAAAGTGTCTTTACAAAAAAAAAAACAAAAAAGAAAAGAAATTTATTTATTAAAAATTCTATTGTGATCTAAAGCAGACAAAATTATGTGTATTCCTCAGAACCTGTTTTTGCTGCACTTACTTACTATTTCCCCACATCTCGTCTCTCCCTTTCCTGATTGCCATATTTTTCATAGGAGATCTCAATTCCCTAAAGAACTGGTCTAGGAAAATTTTGTAAGAATTCTGTTACACTTTGAGATTTTTATGGTGACTTCTAGTGGTGAGATCCAGTCTATTTTGTCTCTCTTTTATTAATTTTTTTTCTTTTTCCCTCATACTCTTATGAAGTAGTCCAATGGGGAATGCAATATTAGAAATAGATTTTTAAGAGAGAACGAGGAAAAAATGCAAGATCTTATATTTTTCATGCAATGATCTGTTCTGTATTTATGAGGAGGACCATTCTATGGAGAAGAAAAAAAAAAGTAAGCAAACAACAGATTAATTTACATATGAGCATCTATAAAACCCATGACTTTTAAACAACTCTAGAACCAGAATTTGTAGTTTGAAAGCTAAAAATAAGATTATAAATAAAATATTGTTGGTTTTTCTGTACTTGGACACAACTCATTTATAGTATGGTTCAAATGTGAGAAACTTGAAGGTAATTAGATTCCTACTTCCTAAGAAAAAATACTACAGTATTCTTAAGTCAGAACATCCATCTGTACAGGGTCCTGTTTGACTAGATGTTTGGAGTTTTAGATGTGTATTCAAGGATGCTGTGGTATTTTTCCTTCTTCTTAGGGTTACCCTTTGTAGAATGCTCAGGTTCAAAAATAACAATTTTGTGAAGTAAATTTAATTCCATTTGAAAGAAAGTTTCAGTATAATTTATTCTCTGTCTCCTAAATAAAATTTCATTGGCTAGATGGAAATATGTCCACAAGAGATGAAAGTATTTTAAGTTATCTGGAGTTGAAAAAGAATGTTTGTGCTGAGTGTTCACAAATTCAGTTTGATTCAATGATAGTTAATAATGACCTACGGTGTGCTAAACACTGACTTTAGTACTGTGGGTATGCAATTGACAAGTTCTGGTCCCCCTCCTTGAATCATTCCCAATCTACATGAAAAATTATTAAAGAAATAATCTCAGTTTATCCCTGGTTGCCAGCTCCGATTATACTGGTAGGTGGAAAGCTGTGAATTGGGATCTTAAATTTTCAGAATATTAGGTTATTGCTATTATAGAAAACCTCCTGGATTCATGATTTCTTCCATCCTTCTGCAGGAGGTGTCTATCTTTGTCTAAATGCAGCTTGCACATCTTTAAGGAAGTGTGGGGTTGTAGATCTGCTTTGAAGGATGGATTCATAGCAGGAAATGGCCATGCTAATACAGCGGTAATTCAATAAAAGTACTTTGTAAGAAACTGGGGACATTTTATCTAAGAGAACATACATTTGCTTCCAAGTAAAAAAGGAACTTGGTGGCTGTTGCACTTCAGCACTCAATACATATTTTAACATATGTATGACTTCTGTTTATCTATGTGAAGCAAAGTGAATACGTACAAATCTCATTACTGGCGTTGAAACCTCCTACCTCGATCACAAAACAAGGATTAACCAAGGTGGAGAAAATGTCAGCTCCTAATGGATAAGCAGCTTAGATACTTGCACTTAACTCTGCAGGCTGGACCTCGCTCCAGGGTTTCGTGGTCTCCGGGTGTGAAAAACCATCATTACTCACAGAATAGGTCAAAAAACTGGGAGGAAAGGAGCACAAATGCATGAGAGCATGCAAGAGTCTTGCTCCTATTTTTCAGTCACCAATATCTGGCTTTTTCCTTCCTTCTTTCCTACTTCCCTTTGTTCAGAACACAGTTCACATTCGCTTTTGATGTGAAGACTAAAGAAAAGGGAAGACACACATTGGCTGTCATTTGTCAAGTTATTCATTACTGAATGTATTCCATATTTTCAAAGTGTCTATCACACACACAGCCACACACACACACACACACACACACACACACACACACACACAGAGCCATCCACCGGGATCTATAATACAATGGCTATTACAAAGAAGGATGGTATAAATCAAGGCAGAAAAGTATTCTGCTTTCTCTTGTTGGATTGGGTTCACCAAGCTGCCTTTGCTGAGTGTGAACTTTTCTTTCTTTTCAAGCTTATAATTCTTACGAGGTTAGTCTCAGCATGCAATTAACCCTTGGCTGTGAGGGGTGGCTGAGCAGTGAGATAAATTCTACTAAGTAGAATGGAAGGTGAAATTGCACTAAAAAAGACAGGTTGGAATCTAAAGCATCTGATGCAGCCCCCTAGCAGATTATAATAGTCCTAATGAATGCATTTTAGAAAAGACAGCTGAGGAAAGGTTTAAATAAACCAAACTTGACATCCATGGTAAATTTAGAAACTCTTTTGACAAAATGCAAAGGGTGGGCTGCTATAAATAGGTTATTTAATGGAAACTAAAATGAATTCTGGATGTATTCTGATTATCAGAGTGTCTGTATTTGCCCTAGATAATATATTTGGCACGCAGCCCATCAGTACAGCAGCTGCACTAACGTATTAGAGACCATTACATATGGTGGATTTACTTGGCTCATCAGGAAGCCCATGGAACTGTTTACATATCTGATACATCCTTGCACCACATCTTTATTTCATGTCCACTGTTCATTTTATTCTGTCCAAAGGCAACTGGATGGTAGTTTTCTGAAACATATGTATCCCAAACACACCATTTACAGTTATAAAGTAACTCAATGATATTTTTGATATACACATACATACATACATATATGTATATATGTAGGAAAAAATATATATATACACATGCATATATTTTTTGTTCCTACTAATAGTATGCAGTTTGCTTCAGGGAAACATCAAAGATACTTCATAAAGAAGGTTCTCTAATATTTCTTTCTATTCAAGAATTACATATCTGGCTATGACCTGAGTCCTTAAAGCTGTTCTAAATATGTTCAAATGCATTTCAATTAGCAAAATGCTTTAAGGATTTGGTATACCTCATACATATAGGCCTTGGTATAGCTTAAATAATTTCTCCTCATATTTCAGATATTCTGAATATCACCTTTTCCAAAGAGTGAAATAGATAATTTAAGCATAAAAGAGCCATCAGTGTTTTTTGAGGAAGAAAATATGGATAGCCTATGATTTTACTTTTAGGCCTCTATAATCAAAGAATAAAAAATTAGGATAGCATTTGAAACCTATACCTATTTCATTTACTACAAAATGAAATTCTAAATATAGATATTCAGGTGGGCGGACTTGTGACAATGGAAGGGTTATTTACATGAGAGAAACAAAAGGGCATTTTAAGAGCAGGATTTATTGAAACATGAAAAAGAAATTAAGTGGGTGGTCCCAGAGTATCCAACATTTCCAAAGTAAATATTGGTCAAGATAAAGAAACCCCTCCCCAGTTTCTTAGCCTTTGGGGATAATATTCAAGATATTTAGATAAAAGAGAAGACTTTGATGAGTGCTTAGGTGTATATTACAGCACTCTATAACAATATAATTTCAAAATAATGTGTTTAATTGTTTACTTGGTGCTTCAGCTTACTAGTTTTAACAAGGATCTTGAAGACAATGATATCATTAAATATCAAAGACACAGCATGTGAATTCCAGGGTAAGAAGTCATACATTTCTAGGAAGCTATTCATCTGTTTGTCTTAAAATATAATAATGCAGAATCAAATTTCTTATAAAAACATATTCCCCCAAACTACACATGCACAACTTTGAGCTGAATGTGATTCTGTCCAATAGCTACTTCTGACAAAAATGAATCTAAAGCATTGCCTGCTAAAAATCAAGATACCTTCTATTCTTATTTTTCTTCCATAGGAAGAAATGTGAATTCCTAAAAACTGGATTATTAGATAGGAAGCTGCTGTAACAGCATTGTCCTTCCTGGTTCCAGCAGGATACAGAACAAGATAGATTTGGCTCCATGAGAGAACAACAACAACAAAAAAATCTAGAATTAAGTATAGCACACTGTCGATTCAGATCTAAATTTAGATACTGAATGAATTATCCTCACAACCAGTTCATGCTGTTTCTTAAAAGTTGTGCCAACAGAACTTTTGAGATTTCAACCTTTCTCAAAATTATTTCAGAAATCTATACAAATCATGTATAAAATTATGCAATTATGTCTTAAAAGAAGTGTTTATAAGTCATAGATAAAATTGTTGTTCATTTTGCTTTTGCCCAGGATAAGGAAAAATAAGGAGAGAGAGAGAGAGAGAGAGAAGGGATGGCTGCAAAACAGCTAATAAATGATGCTATTTTAATAAAAAGCACATGATATTGGAAAAATCTTTCTGTTTTATACATTTTATTATGTGCAGTAAATGAGCACATCCATCTATCCCTTCCACACACATGAGAGAAATGAAAGGGCATTTTAAGAGCAAGATTTATTGAATTCTGCTCTTAACCCTTCCAAAAAAAAAAAAAAAAAAAAAAAAACCCAGTACAATCCTACAGAAATCAGACCATGAAGTCTTATCTTTCATTATTTGATCCAGTAATTTCATTTCATTTTCCAGATAATTAATGCTGCACTTTATTATATATTTGATGCTGAATTGCTCGATTTGACTTATCCAAATGGCATGTCTCCAGACTTTATCTCATTGCCAGAAACAGTGGACACACTGCTTTTTATCTTGATGAAGGGGGGAGATTTGATACTGTCTGAAGGCAAGTGTCCGTAGAACCTGCTATAATACATGTCCTCGTGCTCTGAGAACTTGCCGGAACAACCACCTTGCCCGGCTCTAGTTCTATTTTCATGATGGAAGCACATGAACACCGTTAATATTTATCACGTCTATATATCAATAATAAGCCTTCTCAGCGACAACTAATCTACTTTCTCAGTCCTTAGTTCCACAATGAAAGAAGTAAAAACAAGGTAGAACTCAGCAATTGCTGTTTAAGCATTGCCGCTCGTTTTGTAAAGGGAATACATAGTAGATCCCTAAGAGAAATAAACGACACTTCAATTAAACCT